GTCGATCACCACGGCCGCCGCGCTCTGGAAGTGGCCCAGCGAGAGCCCGGGGGACGGTCCCGGCAGAGCATAGCAGGCCCCGCTGAGCAGGCCCAGGCCCGTGACCACCGGCGAGTCGGTAATGTCCTCCGCTGTCAGCTTGAGCCCGGGACCCTGGGGCGCAGTGCCCACCATGGCCATGGGCAAGACCTTGTGGCTGGTGCCAGGTGTGGTGAATGTGACCAGGGAGAGCTGCTCCCCCGGGGCCCTGAGAGAGCTGCCGGGCGGCCAGGAGGAGAGCCGATGGGAGTTGGAGGTGGGAGGGGCACTGAGGCCCACCGTTTCTCTGCTCACATAGACGCAGGTCTTTTCCTGGGCCAGGGGCACCCGAAGTATCCCCACGTGGGTGGGCAGACCCAAGGCCTCCCCTTCCTGGCACGGGGTCGGGGCCTGGCCAGCCTCCCTGGTGGAGGGGGGGCCTCTTGAGAGGATGGGCTCTTTGGAGATGGTGGGCTCTTGGCAAAAGGCAGGCTGCCCAGTGAGAGAGAGTTGCCTGGCGAGAGGGGTCCCAGTGAGAGGGGGCTGTCCAGAGAGGGGGTGCTGCTCAGCGAGTGGGGGCCAACGGCTGAGGGGGGCCTGCCTAGTCCCTTCAGCCTGAGGGTAGTTAGGGTGAGCAGTCCTGGCCTCCTTCCGGGTGTGGCTGCCTGTATCCGCCAGGAGCAGGGCTCTGGCTGCCTCCTGGGCTGTGGCTGGGGGGGCCGGCTCTGGGATGGTCACCGGCAGCCTCCTGGCCTGGCCCGCGGAGGCATCCTGCACCGCGGACGCATCCAGGATCCAGATGGCGTGAGTGGGTTCGCTTTTTTCAGCCGCAGGTTTGGACCAGCCAGGATCCTGGACGCAGTTCAGTGTCCTCTCTCCAAACTGGAGGGGCCCTCGCAGTGGAAGGGGCGCGGGGAGCAGGCTCACCCTGATGGGTGTCTCGGTACCAGGGGAGTCCTGTGACTCCAGGTTGACCTTCGCTTCCTTGTGGGCCAGGGCCACCTCGCGGTAGCTGCCAGAGGAGAGGCTGGAGGGCACGGGGCTGGACGACACCGACGAGACGGGCCCGAAGCTGGAGCGATCGCGGTTAGGGGAGGCGACGGGCACGGCCAATGGCCGGGTGGACGGCATATTCTCAGGGGCATAAACGAGCGGAGGGTTGGGCACGAGGCCCACCAGTACCGCCCGTGAGCCCAGGGGGTCCTGGCACAGCAGTCCCATCCTGGTGCTTCCCGTGTCCATGTCAAACACCAGCACGTGGCCTTCCGCAGGGTCCTGGAGCTGGCAGGTGGGGGCGCCGGAGGCGGGCCTCTGCGTGGCTTCCCCGGGAGGCTGGGCCGGGCGCTGCCCATGGCAGGTCACTTGGCAGGCGGGGAGCGGCGCCCTGGCGCAGGTGCTGCTGCAGACCCTGAGGGGCTGCCGTTCTGGCTGCGAGCTGACCTCCTGGCGGCTCCTCTGGGGTGTGGGGGTGCCCGGGCTGTCTAGCTTGAAGGTATAGAACAGCGGCTTCTCTGCTGGAGTCTCAGGCTGCTTCAGTAGCACCGGCCTTCTGGCAGCTTCGAGCTCGGAGGCATGGTCTGGGGACTCTCTCGGAGTGGCTCCTGGGATGGGGAGCGGCTGAGAACCAAAGATCACGTGGTCCTGGCAGAATGTGACCACCTTGGAAGTCTCCAAGAGGCCTGACCACTGGTTGCCACTCTCCCTGAGCAGGTCCCGGGACAAGTCCTTGGCGGTGGCGAGGCTCCCGGGCAGGTGGTCGCGGCTGCAGGTGTTACGTGCCACTGCTGCCGGCGTGAGGGTTGTCTGCAGAGCTGGAGTGTTGGCCCGTGTTGGAGCTGGAGGTGCCTGAGCTGGCCACCAGCACTGACCCTGATCTTGGGCTGGAGCGTGAGGAGGACCTGGGGCTGCAGCTGAGCCAATCTCCCCTGCAAGGAAACAGGGGACCTGCTGGCTCCTTGCCAAGCCCCAGGGGGCTTTCTGGTGGGTGCCGCAGGGGCCTTTGCCCCAGCCTACCAGGACTTTAGCCGGAGCCTTGCCCTCCCTCGCACCCTGCACCTGAAGCCAGGAGCTGCGGCCCCCGAGCTGGGCCAGGCCATCGGAGCTGTCCCTGGGCGTGCCCCAGGGCAGGGGCAGGGTCTCATTCTCCAGGACGAGATGCACTTGGGCTTCCACGACGGGGCTGGGGCGCGGGCCGGTGGAGGAGAGTCTCGGGGCGTCCTGGGAGGCCCGCTCCGAGCCACACTGTGCGCCACCCTCAGCGGGGCCCCAGGGGAGCTGGTGAACAGGCTCAGGGCTGTGGGCCTGGGAGGCTGGGCCACAGGCCCCATCAGTGACGGCCTCGGGGGACCATGACAGCCGCTGCCTAAAGCATATGGGCCCCGAGTTTATCCACGGTCCCTGAGACTCTCTGAGGCCACCCCACAGCAGCTGCTGGCTCCTGGCTGAGGGGTGGCCCTGGGGGTCCGATGGATCAGGGTCCCCCACCTGCTTGGTGACTTCCATAGTCCTGCTCCATGCCTAGGCGCCCTGCCCCCACTTTATTGCCATGACAACCCCACACATCACAGCCCCCAGTGACCTGGGTGGGGGTGACAGAGTGTGGGAAACCAGGGGCCCCACCCGCCTGGGGAGACAGAAAGGCCCAGGTCGCCCAGGAAAGCCTGCTGAGCCTCGGCCGCTCCTCTCCCCTCCCGGCCAGGGGCCCTCTCTGCTCAGGCGGTGGTGCCGGGTGCCGGGAGAGGGCAGTGCTTGGGAGCCGGAGGGCAGGGGAAGCCCCTGGGAGGAAGGCGGGCGGGGAGACGCTGAGGAAGCCCGGGCTCCCCGTCTACCTCCCAGGCAAGACGGGCCCTTCCTTTCCCCTCATTTCCAGGGGCCCTTCCTTTCCCCTCATTTCCAGGGGCCCTTCCTTTCCCCTCATTTCCAGGTGGCCACCTGAGACGGAGCCCTGGCCACCGGCTGCAGTTCCAGGTGTGACATGAGGCCCCTTCCTCACTCAGCCCTGGAGGCAGGGGAGAGGGCAGGCCCAGGCCCCACCCCAGGCTCCCCAGGTTCTCGCGCCCGCTCCGGGGACAGACTCTCCTTGGCAGTGGCTCTGCTCCAGATGGCTCCCCTCTGTCTGTGCCTCAGAGCCCCCTCCCAGAGCCACATCTGTGAAACCTGGGGCTGGGATCCCATGGAGCTGGCGGTGGGGACCACAGGGCCCTGGGGGTGGGGCCTCGGCTCAGAATTCTCAAGTCCCAGGGTTCTAGCTCTTGTCACATTGTGTCAGCTTCCCCGTGGTGGCCGGAGGGGGCTTGGAGCCCTGGGCGCAGGGCGAGGTCACAGTGGACACGGGCCAGCCAAGTGCAAGGACAAGTGGAGGCACATTAAGGACATGGTGGTTACAGAGCCCTCCACACAGCGCACACGGGGTGGTGCACAGCGGGGCAGGGGGGTGCAGGGCTGCGCACACAGTGGGCACAGCTGCCGACACGGGGCGGGCGAGTCGGACAAAGGACTGGACGTAGGGCGGGCACCTAGGAAATGCGGGGGCAGCTCCGCTCTCCATTTCTTAGATGGGCAAACAGAGGGGCCGGGAGGATGGGACCTGCCTAGACCGCCAGCCCGGGCCCGGGCGAGCCTGCGACCACGGAGGACAGGCCTAGGCGGCCCTCTGGGGAGCTGCTCACGGCCAGAGGCCTGTGCCTGGAGGTTCTGTCCCCCCAGCCAAGAGCTCTGGGCCTCCTCCCTCTGTCCTCCAGCGCCGGGTCCTCTCAGGCCTCAGTCTTTCTGCCCAGGAAACAGGTTAGTGGAGGAGGCAGCTGCAGGCTGGGCCTCTGATGCCGTGTGTTTTCACAGAAGTTAAAAATAGTGCTTACAGTTGGCCGTGGGGTGTGAAGCAGTGTGACCGGGGCCAAGGCTAGCACTGAGCTGCGCCTGCAGCTTCCTGACTCAGCACCGGGCAGAGGCTGACACAGCCAGGTCTCAGCCCCCCGGGCCCCACCCCTTCCCTAGGTGCTGCCTTCATTTAAGAATGGGCACAGGCCCTGGCCAGTTGGGTGTTGTCCTGCCCACCAAAAGGTTGCCAGTTCAATTCCCGATTGGGTTTTGGGCTCCATCCCCAGCAGGGGGGCGTGCAGGAGGCAGCCAATCAATGATTCTCTCTCATTGATGTTTCTCTCTCTCCCCCTCTCCCTTCCTCTCTGAAACATATATGTATGTAAACATGAATGAACGGGGACCTCTGGACACTGCTCTCACCATACACCATGGCCCAGGACAGTAGCAGAGCCCAAGGGCCTGTGGCCTGCACACGGGCACACACACACACACACACACACACACACACACACACACACGCTGAACACGGTTGACTTCATTCATCTCTGACCCCAAGGAAACTACTTTTGGGGGGTTGGTTTTCCCCACAACAGAGATGCTAGGACTTGTACAGCCCTTGGGGTGGGCTGCACTGGGAGGCGGGGAGGCAGGGCGGGAGGCCCCAGGAGCCCCCTAACCGTCTGTCGCTGAGCCATCCCCTACCTCCCGCAGAAGAGGGGCGCACTGCTCCCCTCAGGACTGGGTCTTTGTGAGCGGCTGGCCCAGCCCGGGGTGTCCTGGGGGAGGAGCAGAGCCCGCGGAGGGGTAGCCGCGAGGAAGGCTGGAAAAGGCGTGGAGAGGGGAGAAGGCTCTTCCCCCTGGGGAGCAACCACACCGCTTGGGCAGTAGGAACCACAGCTGTTATGGATGGGGCTCCTCCCCTGCGCCAGGCCACGCTGAGCACAGGGCATCGGCCTCGCGGCGATGCAGGAGCCTGGCGCTGCCTCCCTCTCTTGCCAGTGAGGGCATCGAGGCACAGGGAGGAGAGAATTCACAGCGGTCTCAGCTGGTTAGCACTAGAGCCAGCATCCGAAGCCAGGCCACTGGGCTTGGGGCCCCATTCGGGCACGATGGTGCTGCCCCTGCGTGCCGTGCCCAGGGCCGCGGGCATGGCCCTGTGGGAGGGAAGCCAGCAGGTCTCGCTCCTGAGCGGCAGCCCCACCCCAGCGGGTGTCCCCCAGTGGCCTGCCCCCCCTCCCAGCTCAGCAGGTGGCCTGGGCCTGGGAGGGGCATTTTCCCGTTGGCACCATGAAGCCAGTGCCCTCCCGGGAACCTGGCGGTGCTGAGCAGGGGCCAGCTACACACCGAGAGGCCAGGCGAGTCCTTTGTACCAGGAATTCGTGGCCGCCAGAGCTCACTCCCGTCCATCCACCTGAGGGGGGGGGCAGGGGCAGCTGGAGAGGCGCGGGCAGGTCCCTCTGCCAGCCCCTGGGGATCAAGCAAGAACATTGCCCCTTCCCCCCCCCCCCCAGCCG